ACCGGCGACCACCAGCGACCATCGATGACCAGGAGCCCGACCACAGTCCAACAAGCCCTAGCCGATGTGGAAACAATTGGAGGTGGTAGATGGTGCGGTCTCAAAACCGGGCGATGCGAGACGCGATTAGTACACCGACAAGGCGTGACGCGGTGATCGTACGCGAGAAGATACCCGACCAAGGCGAAACAATTGGAAGTGGTAGATGGTGCGGTCTCAAAACCGTTTGTCTGGCCCCGTTGGTCATGTATGTCTGTATACATTCTGCAAAAATTTTAAATTGTATGTGTTCAAACATAAACTCTAATTCTGCTGCATTTAGGTTTATTTTATAGACGACCTATTACTTGCATAATTTCGACGTTTTTAACCAAGCCATAACAAAAGAATTGATCAATGTTGCACAAAATAATCATAACATTCTTCAACAGCAAATCAGAAGTTATATAGTTCCAAGATTTATCAGCAAATATATTTGCTCATCTTTATTGCTTTGTTTTCCTAAGAAACATAAGAGTTTATTGTCTCATTAGGCAATTTCTCCCAAGGCAAAATAGAAAACAGTATATTAGTGAGAATGTAAAATTAGTTGTCAAAAATCCCTCAAAAATAGGAGAAGATAGCCACTGTCTTTTCAAGTTCAACAACGGTTTTACTATGAAGCCAACAGTTAGCTTCATAGCAAAGTTTCTATTCTGACTAGAATTTTAATTACAAAGTATTTACAAATTTCTTGTCATTTGAAACAATGACTCTATTCATAAGATATACGAGTTTTTTTTTTTTAATATTTTATTGTTAAATAACAATTGCAAAAATATAGCAAAAATAATATAAAAAACGTGCCATTTCAACATTTTGACGCAAGCTTCTCCAAAAAAAAAAGAGATGCTATAACCTAAATAGTGCGCTATTTAAAACAGGAAGATGCTACGGTTCCGTTACGAAATCATTCATTGAGGTTTGTAACCGTTAGATCAACTATCTCTAACAATTACATGATGATCTAACGGTTAGAAACCCCAACGGAATTATTCCGGGAACTTAGGGGGTAATTGTTTATTAGTTGTACAGTAATTTTTTTTACTCAAACTTAAATTTAACTCAACTTTAACTCACCCCACTATCTCCAATCTTATTATATAATTAAATAACATCAACAAATTATTATTACATATCACATCAACTTTAATTCACTATTCATCTACTCACATAATTTTAACTAATTTTAACTAACTATCACTTCCAATCATTTTCTCTTACTTTTACATCAAATCAATTTTAACAATTTTATTTTAAGTACTATTTTAATATATCAACTAACAACTAACCGTACCACTTTTTCTTAAACTTAATCATAATTAAAAAATTCTAAATTTTTTACTATTAAAACCATAAACAATCACCCTTAGCATTTCCCTCCGAAACAATGTCCTAAAGCTCCCGACATTTTGGCAAAAATGCACGCTGATAATAGCCCATTTGACCAACCTAAATTACCATTTACCCCTATCGCCAGCCCACTACATATATCGTCCAGATATTCTCTTCCCCCAGAAAAAAAGGCAGCCGCACTTGTGACCGGCGAAGAAGGTAAGTGATCAAACACTACCACTGTATGTCATCTATTCAATTTTATTCAATTTAAATGTTTTCGAATCCAAAATGGATAAGCTTCTTGTGATTTGGGAACGATATTTAGGTTTTACATATTTGTTCGGAATCGTCTTCCTTTTTTTTTTTTTT